TCTGTGGTTTTGGAGCCTGTCCTGGAACTAGCTCTTGTAGACCAGGCTGGTCTCGAACTCACAGAGATCCGCCTGCCTCTGCCTCCCGAGTGCTGGGATTAAAGGCGTGCGCCACCACCGCCCCGCTTTTTGTTTTGTTCTTGTTTGTTTTGAGTCAGGGTCTCATGTGACCTGGCATCAGACTTCATATGCCCCTAAGATTGACCTGGAATTCCTGTTACGCCTCCCAAGTGCTGAGATTCTAGACATAAGCCACTATATCTGTCTTTGTTTTAAAATCATGTTTACAAATTTTGAACTAACACTGCAAAATGAATATTCCTATTAGCTGAGAAAAGCACAGTCAAATTCAATCCACTGTGAGACAGACATAGTGGTGCAGGCCTGTGAGCCCGCCACTTGGGAGGTAGTGACTGGGATATCGGGATTTCAGAACCAGACTCAGAGTTTGGGGGCAACATGAAACTCTGCCTGGAAAAAAGATTAAACCACAATGGAAGGAGGCATGGTGGTGCATACCCACCAGCCCTCACCAGTCTGAGGCAAGAGGAGCACAAGTCCATTTCCAGCTGCCTCTAAACAGACAGCTGAGTTTCCCAGCAGCTGCGTACCAACACTAAAGGGAGTGGGGGGCAGGGGCGGAGATAGGAGTTCAAGGCCATCTTCAGCTACACAGCTGGCCTGAAGCCAGCCTGAGCTGCCTGAGACCTTGTCTCAAAAGCAATCATTGCTTGGAAAGGCAGCTGTTGATTTAAACACGCGCATACACACACACACACACACACGCACGCACACACACATACACACGCCACTACCCCAAACTGCAAACCAGACAGAAAAGAGAAGCCAATGAGCCCTGAGCCAAGTACAAAAACCTTGAGGGAAGCCATTAGTGGCTTTCAATAGGTGATTGACAAGGATTTCCTCACAAAAGATTTACCTATCTTGGGGCTGGAGAGATGGCTCAGTGGTTAAGAGCATTGCCTGTTCTTCCAAAGGTCATGAGTTCAATTCCCAGCAACCACATGGTGGTTCACAACCATCTGTAACGAGATCTGCTGCCCTCTTCTGGTCTGCAGACACACAGAGATAGAATATTGTATACATAATAAATAAGTAAATAAATAAATATTAAAAAAAAGATTTACCTATCTTTATTTACATATATGTGTGTGTGCATGCGTTTGTGATCACCACGGCTGTGAGTGTGTGCCGAGGCCAGAGCATATTTTATTTGTAAAGAGAAAAAGAAAAAAAAATGTGTGTCAGATTTAAAAGTTGCATTCTTTTTCTTTGGTTTTGTTTATTGGGGTTTTTTTTGGGGGGGGGTTCTTTTCATTAATTTCTTCTTTTCCTTACTCAAATTTTTTTCAATTCCAAACATGCTGCTGCTTTTTCTTCCTCTCTCTCTCTCTCTCTCTCCCTCCCTCTCTCTCTCTCTCTCTCTCTCTCTCTCTCTGATTTTTGAAACAGGGTTTCTCTGTGTAACCACCCTGGCTATCCTGGGACTCACAGAAATCCACCTGCCTCTGCCTCCCAAGTACTGGGATTAAAGGCGTGTGTCACCAATGCCCAACTCTTTTCTTTTTTAAAATATTCATTCATTCATTCATTTTAGTTTTTTTTTCTTTTCTTTCTTTCTTTCTTTCTTTTTTTTTTTTTTTTTGAGGCAGGGTCTCATGCTGTAGTCCTGGCTGGCCTCACACTCATGGCAGTCCTCCCCCCCCCCCTCCGCCCACCCCAGTCCTAAATGTTGGGATTACAGGCATGAGGACCACATGCTGTTCTTTTCCTTTCTTTTTTCCATGCTGGGGATGGACCAGAGCATCCAGGATGTTACGCAAGTGCTCCTGCCTACAAGTGGTACCATGGCACTCTCAATGAATTAAAGTGAAATTTTAAATTACATCTATTTATTGTGGGTGGAGACATTGTAGAGCAGTTTCCTTTGAGATTAAAACCTTTCCTCTTGGGGCTGGAGAAATGGCTCAGCAGTTAAGAGCTCATACTTCTCTTGCAGAGGACCTGCGTTTGATTTCCCACATCTAGCTGCGTGTTAAGTCCAGCCTAAGGAATCCAGCCCAGTCTCCTGGCCTCACACAGAGACATGCACTCACATTTATGCACTAGCACGCGGGCACACATACATACACAGTACACACTTCAAAATAAAAATAATAGCCGGGCGGTGGTGGCACATGCCTTTAATTCCAGCAGAGCTGGGTGGATCTCTGAGTTTGAGGCCAGCCTGGTCTACAGAGCAAATTCCAGGACAGAGAGATTTCAAAGCTACACAGAGAAACACTGTCTAGAAAAACAAATAAATAAACAAACAAACAACCTTTCATTTTGGAGGGAAGAATATTAAGACACAGAATGTTAGGACTGGGCATAGTGACCCACATCTTTGATTCCTTTGATCCCAGCACTAGGAAGGCAGAGGCAGACACACCTCTGTGAGTTTAAGGTCTGTTTGGTCTTTGTAGGGAGTTCCAGGGCAGCCAGAGCTACACAGAGCCTTCGTCTCAAAAAGGAGGTGGGGGTAAAACCACAGGATGTTCAGTTTGTCTCACAGAAGGTGAAATACTCCATCTTGTGTGTGTGGAGGAGGGAACTTGTTGAGCTCAGGAGTGTTGGGATAGTCTTTTTGTATTCTATGTCAAGAAGTATCTCTGGCCTTTCTCTCCTGCCTAAGGCACTTTCTGATTGGTTTAGTAAAGAGCTGAATGCCCAATAGCTAGGCAGGAGGGGATAGGAACTCTGAGAAAGAATCTGAGGTGCAGGGCATTGGCCAGCCAGACACAGGGGAAGTAATGAGCCGTGTGGTAAATGCCGATTAATACAAACAGGTTAATTTAAGTGCTAGTTGGGAACACGCCCAAAATAGGGCCAAGCTTTCACACTTCGTAAGACATCTCCATGTCATTATTTGGGAGCTGGTGATAGAAAGAAAGACCCAATACATTTGCCCTGATACAAGGACACAAACAACTCAACAGCTTCAGGAAGGCCCCAAAACTGACTGGTTTCACAGGCTCTTCCCTCCTCAAGTATATGTGAGTCGTAAGGACTACTCAGAGAATCAGTCAAACTAAGCTGCCTGGGAGAGGCTTGGGCGAACTGAGCCACCTAGAAAGGGCCTTTCCAATCTGTGCAGCTGGCTGCAGCTAGGCAGGGCTCCAGGTCTCTAGCTCCTAGGAGCTGTCATCCTCCTGGGCGTTGGTGGGGCAGCCATCTTTGATTCATTAGCTCCACCCATACTCTACTAGTTACCCCAATAAAACTCACTGGTTCACCAAGTTGGGCTTTGTGGTTCCTTGCTTTGATCTGCTGTCATTTCTCTATCAGGGGTCAGGGGTTGCCAGTCCTCCAAAGAATAGTATCACAGAATTGACACATGCCCATGCCGGTCAGCAGGCAATGTGCAGGAATCAGGTGGGTCTTAGGGATGGAATTTAGGTTAGCAAGTGCCTTCACCTATGAAGTCATCTCATTGGCCCTTGACGCCCCCCCCCCACCTGCTTGCTTTAAAGACAGGGACCTCTTCTATGCAGCCCTGGTTGTGGGAACTTGCTAATATATAACAGGTTGGCCTTGAACTCAGAGATCCACCTGCCTCCACCTCTGGAATGCTGGGATTAAAGGCACACAACACCATACCTGACTCATTTCTTTAAAAGAGTTTAACTCGAGTATTTGGGGGTGCATATATGAAACAGCTGTCCTTGGAGACCTGAAGACTGTTGGATGTCCTAGAGCTGGAGCTACAGGCAGGCAGTCGTGAGCTGCGAGGCAGGAGTACTGGGGATCAGGCCCAGGTCCTCTGAGAGGGCAGAACAAGCTCTTAACTTCTGAGCCATCTCTTCAGCCTTTTCTTTTTTGTTTTGTTTTTAGAGATAGGGTTTAGAGATAGAGTTTCACTGTATCTTTGGAGTCTAGCCTGGAACTACCTCTGTAAACCAGGGTGGCCTCGAACTCACAGAGATCCACCTGTCTCTGCCTCCCAAATGCTGGGATTAAAGGCATGAGCCGCCACCACCTAGCCTTCCAGCTCTTCTATCTAGGAAATGCTAACATTTTTTTATTATTTATTTATTTTTTGCTTTTTCGAGACAGGGTTTCTCTGTGGCTTTGGAGCCTGTCCTGGAACTAGCTCTGTAGACCAGGCTGGTCTCGAACTCACAGAGATCCGCCTTCCTCTGCCTCCCGAGTGCTGGGATTAAAGGCGTGCGCCACCATCGCCCGGCTCATTTTTTTTTTAAAGATTTTATTTATTTATTATGTATACGACATTCTGCCTCCATGTATGCCTGCAGGCCAGAAGAGGGCGCCAGATCTCATTACAGATGGCTGTGAGCCACCATGTGGTTGTTGGGAATTGAACTCAGAGCCTCTGGAAGAGCAGACAGTGCTCTTAACCACTGAGCCACCTCTCCAGCCCAAAATGATAACATTTTGTTTTCAAAACAGGGTCTCATGTATCCCAGGCGAGCCTCAAACTCACCACACCCCAGCCTTTTCCTCCCTTTCTTCTTTTTGTGATGCTTGGAACTCACTATGTAGAGCAGGCCTCCTGCCTCTGCTCCCAGGTGCTGAGACGACAGGTGTGAGCCACACCTGACCCCCCCCCACGCCCAGAGTCTCAGCCCACCAGGGCGCCACAGCATCTAGAGCGCTGGACTACAGGGGTGGCCTCTTGCAAGGGAAGCTCTGCCGCCCCCTACCCAGTCACTCCGACTGTTTTCCTGTGTCTTCCAGTCACGCTTGAGGGCCCTGGTTAGAAGGTACTGGCTCAGCGCAGGGCGGATGAAGGTGAGGACAGAAATGCCAGTCTCCACAGACGCCCCCTACGGTGCCAACACGCACGTTCACATCTTCCTACGGCCCCAGGTAAGGGGGAGGCTGGGTAGCATCGATGCGGTGACGCGACACCTGTGTGTGCATGTGTCTGCCCCTCAAAACACACGTGACAGCCAACAAAGAGACACGACAGCATCCGAGATGGAAAGAACTAGTGTATTGATTTGGAGGGAGAGCAGGGATGCAGATGGGACATGGGGCGAAGGGCTCCTTAGTGTTTGCTGTACCCACCAATCACCACACCCTCTACGCACTGGCCTCCCCAGTAGCAGGACCCCAGCAGGCTCTCACCCTTTCGAGCACCCTACTTTCTCGCTCTTCCCTGTACCCCACTTGACTTTGCCTTTCAGTGACTTGACAGGGCCCACCAGGCTCTAAAGCTGGTAAAAGGTGGGCTCAAACTACCCTCCCTCCTCCTTCTACCTCATCCCATCTCTTGTCTAAATAAAATATAGAAAAAGCAAGCAAGGCAGAGGTGCCTGGGAGAATCCATTGACTCCAGGCTCGGGGTGGGGTGGGGCAGGAAGAGGAGGGTAAGGCAGGCCGAGGAGCCTCCGCCAAGTGCAGTGGACCCAGGAGGGGTTGACCTCTCAGCCATCCCCTCTGCACTCCCCTTCTCTGCAGCTGGCATGGCAGTGGGCCAGCTGTCTGGAGAAGGCTGATAGGAACTCCGCGCCTGCCTCTCAGGCACCATATCACAGGGTTCTGGGAAGAGCGCGAGGCCAAGGCAGCGGGACAAAAACTAGATTCTATAACGGCGTCCTCGCCCTGGGCTCCGAGGAGAAGCCCTGGGGTTTTAAGGCAGATACAGAGGAAGCAAGGCAAGGACTGAGGACTGAGACAGAGACTTTTCTGCTCCTGTTTTTCCTTCAGTATAAAACCACTGTAGAAAATAACTTCTCTTAGAAAAAACATAGAAGAAAAAAACCAAAAGCAGGGACTAAATTTTTCTTTGGCTTCAGGCCTGCTCCCACAAGGGGCAGAGCAGGAGGTGGGCAGGAGGTAAGGAGGGAGCGGGAGGCCTCTGCCCCCACCCCTGCCCAGCAGGTCCCAGATTACATGATGCTGCAGTTCTGGGGGCTCTAAGAGAGAAGAGAAGGAGGCAGAGGTGTGAGCATAGTGGCGGCCCTCCTCTCCCTCCCGACCCCAACCCTCACACTCTGGCCCTGGCTCTGTCCTCGAGTCTGGGGTGCAGACAGGAGGGGCAGGGTGCCAAAGGGGCTGCGAGGAGGGTCCCACTCCCATAGCCTGCCCTGCCCGGCTGCTCAGTGAGCAGTGCCCTGCTGTAGGGGAAGAGGCAAGGAGAAGACTCACCTGGATCCGGGGACGGGAGTTGCCCAGGAGGTAGGAGCGGGTGACTAGGCTGTCCCCGAAGCTGCCACCCCCACTGCCCCCCACACTGCGGTAGCTTCGAGTGACTGTGACACTGGAGGCAGAAGAGCCAGAGGAGATGGATCCGCCCACCTGGGCTCCCGAGCCACCGGCAGCCTTGTCGGCAGGCTGCCCACAAGTCCCACACAGCACGGTGCGTGAGCGCAGGTTGTATTCAGCGGGGTCCCCCGAGCTGCTGCAGTGGGAGCCCTGGGAAGGGAGACAAGGCTCAGGAGGTGACTGCTTAGGACCAGCACCCAGGCTCTGGGCTCCTCTGGTTTCCTGGCTATTGGGCAGGAAGGTGGCCTCTGTACCCAGAGAGCCAGAGTGAATAGGGACTTGGGAGGTTTGTGCCTGGGAGAAAGGACATGGCAGAGGAAAACAGCCAGGAAGGCTTCGAGACGGAGAGGTGTGGCTTTCACTCTCTCCTGAGTCCGAGAAACTTACAGGGGAACTGAGAGGGAGATCAAAGGTGGAGATAGTTAATTTGTGAGGGGACAGAAACGAGAAGATATTGTTGCAGGGAAATCCGGGAAAAGAAGCGTGCAGCAGGTGGAGAGGGGACAGAGAGGATGCAAGCAGTGGCAGTGGGGAAGGGGGCAGGGCTGGGGCCATCTCTGTCCTCCCCTCCTCTCCCCAGGAGACAAATCAGATCCCTGTCCACTGCCACCGTGGGAAAGTTCCCAGTCCCTTCCTTACCAGACACCTGGGTTCCCTGTTCAAGGTAAAGGAAGGAAAGAGAAGAAAGGCCAGGGCAGCGAGTGGCATTCCAAAACATTTTTTAATGAAAAGACTTTGGCATGGTGGCAGGAGAGCTGCCCTAGGCAGGTAGGCTACCCATATGGGCTGGGTCTCAGCGGCGGCTGCCACTCACGTGGTGGTGATGGAGCAGCTCATCTCCATCCTCATCCTCATCGTCCTCAACCACGGTCACTGAGCGCACCAGCTTGCGCATGGCCACTTCCTGTGGGGACATAGACCCAGGCGCGAGAGTCAGGGGTGGGGGCTGCGCAGCCTATCTAACCAGGCTCTGCCCTCTATCTAACTGGCTGTTTGCTCCGAACTAAGGGATGTGCTTGTACACACATGTAGGAAGGACACCACTGGGAGCTCGGTGCTTAAGGCTGGAGTCTATGGCTAGCACCATTCACTGGCTGACTTCCACCCATCATCCTACTGGGGAGAGACTTCTAGCTTGCTTCCTGGGTGGGCACTTGGGCTCAGGAAAGCGATCCCAAATGGGCAGGTTGCATTGGGTTTGGGGTAGCTGGCTCCCATTATGGCCACCAGGGGGAGCCTCCTCCAGCAAGAGGCCTGCTGCAGCACACTCACTTCTCCGGTGGAGTTGATGAGGGCCGTGCGAAGGCTGTTCCCACAGCCCCAGGTGTTCTGCGCCTTCCACACCAAGTCGGTAGGAGGGCTATGGGTGGCCCCAGCTCCCGAAGCCCAGATCTGGAAAAAGACAGTTTAAAAAGAGTGCTTACTCTTAATGCTCCTGTCCGAAGCCAACTTCTCCCCTCCCAAGTTCCAAACGCCCTTCCGCTCACCGTCACCACTTGGCCAGCCTTTAGAGTGAACTTTGGTGGGAAGCGATATGTCATCAGCGGGTCGTCACCATTCTGACGCTTGATCTGCCAGTTGCCCATGGACTGGTCCTGCCAATGCGGGAGGAAGGAGAACAGGAAGGCTCAACCTGGTGCTTGGCTTTTTTCACATAAGATCAGAAATAGGCTAGGTGCCATAGTGTACACTTATAGTACCAGCTACTATGGAGGTGAGGCTGAGGCAGGGGAATAGCTTAATCCTAGAGAACAGAAACCAGTCTGGGCAAGATTCCATCTGAAAGAAAGAAAGAAAGAAAGAAAGAAAGAAAGAAAGAAGGAAAGAAAGGAGGGAGAGAGGGAGGGAGGGAGGAAAAAGGCCGGAGGTGACGATGCAGCCTTTAATCCCCGCACTTGGGAGGCAAAGGCAGGCAGATCTCTGTGAGTTTGAGGACAGCCTGGTCTAGAAGAGCTAGTTCCAGGACAGGCTCCAAAGCTACAGAGAAGCCCTGTCTCGAAAAAAAGAAAGAAAGAAGGAAAAAAAAAAGAAAGAAAGGGGGGGCTGGAGAGATGGCTCAGTGGTTAAGAGCACTGCCTGCTCTTCCAAAGATCCTGAATTCAATACTGTATACATAATAAAAATAAATAAATCTTTAAAAAAGAAAGAAATAATCCCAGCACTTGGGAGGCAGAGGCAGGCGGATCTCTGTGAGTTCGAGACCAGCCTGGTCTACAAGAGCTGGTTCCAGGACAGGCTCCAAAACCACAGAGAAACCCTGTCTCGAAAAACCAAAAAAAAAAAAAATAATAATAAATAAATAAATAAGAAAGAAAGAAAGAAAGAAAGAATGGGAGGGAGGGAGGGAGAGAGAGAGAGAGAGAGAGAAAGGCTGGCGGTGGTGGCGCACGCCTTTAATCCCAGCACTTGGGAGGCAGAGGCAGGTGGATCTCTGTGAGTTCGAGGCCAGCCTGGTCTACAAGAGCTAGTTCCAGGACAGGCTCCAAAGCTATAGAGAAACCCTGTCTCAAAAAAAGAAAGAAAAAAGGAAAAAGAAAGGAAGGAAGGAAGGAAGGAAGAAAGAAAGAAAGAAAAAGAAAGGCAGGACTGCGACCACCATCTCCGGCCTTCAAGCCCTCTACCCCCTCTAGCCTGTCCCTCAAGAGTCATGCTGTGACCGTGTGGACATGTATGCTGTGCCACACACACTGGTACCTTTCATCTTCCCAACAATGTAGAGATGTAGGAACTGCCACACACTCCAAAACCCAGACAGAGAGACGGATGCTCCACGAGCACCAGGGTCTCCCAGTCACTGAATACAGGACCCTGATCCAGAGGCTCACCTCGTTGGACTTGTTGCGCAGCCGCACAAACTTTCCTTCCTCATCGACTTCCTCCACAGCCACGCGCCCGCTAGTTCGAGCATGCTGTGAGAAGCTGCTCCGGCTCTCAGAGGACTCCAGCTTGCGCTTTTTGGTGACGCTGCCTCCACCCTGCGATTGGGATGAGTGGGAGGAGGTGCGGCCACGGCTGCGCTGCGAGGTAGGGCTGGGGGACAGGCGTAGCCTGAGAAGGCAGAGACAAGGCGTTAGTCGTGGTAGCTGCAGGCCAGGGGCTCCTTCCAACGTCTCCTGACCCCTCCAGGCTCACCTCTCCTCCTCGCCCTCCAGCAGCTTTCTATAGGCATGGATCTCCATGTCCAGGGCCAGCTTGATGTCCAGCAACTCCTGGTACTCATCCAGCTGCTGCTGCATCCTTGCCCGCATCTCAGCCATCTCTCGCTCTTTCTCGGCCAGCAGCCGCCGGCTAGTATCCCGCTCCCGGGCCAGCGAGTCCTCCAGGTCACGCAGCTTTGCTTCCTTGGCTGCCAGCTGGGAAAGGCAAGGTGTGATGAGTTCCCAAGCTGAAGAGGGAGGGGTACCAGGGATCTGTAGGCTCTCATTAGAACACTTATCCAGTGGCCAGGAAGCTCTTTCTAACATCTAACTGAAACCTCTCATTCTGAAGCTAGACCCCTATCTTCTTTGGTCACAAATAGCACAACCATCTAAAATAATATCACTTGCCGGGCAGTTGTGGCACGCGCCTTTAATCCCAGCACTTGGGAGGCAGAGGCAGGCGGATCTCTGTGAGTTCGAGACCAGCCTGGTCTACAAGAGCTAGTTCCAGGACAGGCTCCAAAACCACAGAGATACCCTGTCTCAAAAAAACCAAAAAATAAAAAAATAAAATAAAATAAAATAATATTACTTGTGACATTGCACACCACAGTGTTATGACAGACCTGTGAAATGGGGAGAGCAAGAACAGCTTTGGAGCCTGTTCTGGAACTCACTCTGTAGACCAGACAGGCCTCAAACTCAAAGAGATCTGCCTGCCTCTGCCTCCTGAGGGCTGGGACTAAAGGCGTGTGCCAACACTGCCCAGCCTGGCTTCTTTTCTTTTTTTGAGACAGGATCTCAAGTAGTCTAGGCTGGTCTCAAACTTGCTGTATAGTTGAGGATGACTTGAATCTCTGCTACTTCAGCCTGAACATGCACCTCCATGCCCAGTTCTGCGTCATGCGAGGGATAGAAACAGGGCTTTGTGCATGATAAGCAAGCGCTCTACCAATGAAGCTGCAAGTCCAGTTCAAGGTAATCTCCGTTTTCAAATAGGAAATGAAGCTGGGACTATAACTCAGTTAAAACAACTGTTTGCCATGCACGAGGCCTCGGGTTCCATCCCCAGCATGCACAAAATAAACAGGAAAAACCTTTCATACACAGATGGTAAAACAGAGACCCCGAGGATCAAGGTAAGCTTACGGGGAACACCAGGCAGGCATCAGACTCCAGAGTGTGGGGTCCTGGGGTCTTCCCCTCCACTCCCCTCTTCCCAGTGGGCTTTTGCAATATCTGCTCAGCCCAGTGCCCTAGTGGAAAAGCTTAATCCTAGAGAATAGAAACCAGTTCACCTGTTTCTGGAGCTGGCTGAGCTGGGCCGAGAGGCTGTCAATGCGGATTCGAGACTGCTGGAGCTCCTCGTGGGCAGCCCCCACTAGGTTGCTGTTTCTCTCAGCAGACTGCCTGGCATTATCCAGCTGCAGGGAGCACACAGTATTAGAACAAACCTGAGAATGGTGTCGCGCTGCAGCCTCGGGTCCTGTCCCGTCTACCCATCCCCAGGCACACCCAGCATGGGTAGGATAGGCTGCTGGGGCAGCACCAGGAGAGGATGGGGTGAAGCCAGCACCTTGGCCGAGTATGTCTTCTCTAGCTCCTTCTTATATTGTTCCACCTGGTCCTCATGCTGGGCCCGCAGCTCCTGCAAGGCGTCTGCCAGCCGGCTCTCAAACTCACGCTGCTTCCCGTTATCAATCTCCACCAGACGGGTCTCATGCCGGCGCTTGGTCTCACGCAGCTCCTGAAAGAGTTCAAGACAGGAATACACATCAGAATGGCTCCTCAAAAGCTGAGACCCCGAAGCCCTTGCTCCGTCCTGCCTTAACCACGGGCAGCCCTCCATCAGCCTGGGAGCCACGCTGCAGGCGCTCACCTCACTATAGATATTCTTCTGGAAGTCCAGCTCCTCCTTCAGGGTCTGCAGCCTGTTCTCAGCATCCACTCGCCGCAGCATCTCATCCTGAAGTTGCTTCTTAGCCTCACCTAGGGCTGCCTCAAGCTGAGAGGACAAAAGCTGAGGTCATGGACATACCAAAGAAGCCATGTGATAGCTGTCCCCAGGGAGAACGGGACTACTCATGGTAGCCAGGGCAATAAGAAATCACAGGTGAGGCCCAGGGAGATGGCTCAGCAGCTAAGGACGCTGGCCCTCAGGCCTGACAGCCTAAGTTCTATCCTTAGGGCCCAAGTGGCAGAAAGAGAGAACAGATCCCCACAGCAGCTCCTCTCAACGTGTGTTGTGGCATCCAGGAGCCCACAAAATAAAAAAATAAATAAATAAATAAGCGAAAAAAACAAAAACTTCACTAACATCAATAATAAGCTCCCCTCTGGGGTCTCCCTTTCTTGGTGCCACACAGTAGTTGAGGGCCACGTGGAAGCAGAGGGGCAGGAGGACAGAGCCCATGTTCCGGGGAGGAGAGGGGGTAGGACCAACAGGCAGGGGCAGGCCAGGAAGTACCCTTATCTGCCCTGGAAAAAGTCCCCGCAGGAAGCACAGCTAAGCCATGCATCTTGGAATGTGCAGGCTGGTCAGAGGGCCTGGAAGAGCTGGGGAGGGAGGAGAGGGGCCAGCTTTGGCTTTGGAGTCAGCCTGCTGGCTTCTCCTGTGTTTCAGAATGTGATGGGGTGAGAAGAAGACCGGGAAGGGAGAACACCGGATGCCAGCTTGTTGTGGGCTCCAGGCCTGGCCCACTCCGAGCAGGCAAGAACATGATACTACACCACTAGCTCCTCAGTCCTGTCCCTGTCATGGAGTCTGAGAGACGAGAGGACCAGAGAGGAAGTGGTGGGCCCTGGCACACACAGAAGTACTGACCCACACCTAGGGATAATGAGCCATGGGTGCTCTGCTATGGCCTCTGAAGAGCTTAGGCTGTCTAGAGGAGATGGGGGTGGGGGGGTGGGATCTAGGGCTATGCACAGCACACTCTGCAGCTAAATGGAACTGGTTTGTGGATGGTTTAAATTCACTGTGCTATGTTCCCTGAAGGCCAAAGAAGGATGAGCAAAGGTTTAGACTAGCTAAGTGACGCTAGACAGGTGAACGGCCTTGGGACTGGGTGACAGGTCAGACCCCTCCCAAGGGCAGGCTAAGGAAGAGTCCACATCCATCCATCAGGCTGGGTCACTGGGGTCACAGAAGGGCCCCAGACAGTGGCCTACCTTGGCTACCTGCCCCCGCAGGTCATGGAGTTCACCCTCTAGTGTGCGCTTCTCGCTGAGAGCGGTGCTCAGTGCAGCTTCCTTGGAGTTGAGAAGAGCCTCCAGGTCCTTGAGCCGGGCCTGAGCAGCCAGCAAGTCGCCCTCCTTCTTGGTATTGCTAGAAAAGAAAAGCATTGGTTTCAGGACCCTGCTTGGCTAGGACAGGACCGCCCTGTGGTCCTCCCAACTGTCAGAAGAGGGCATCCTTATCCTAGGATTGTTTGCATCCACGAGCTTCTGGGGCTGGGTTCTCACCTCCCAAGATTTCCCAAAAGCCCCTTTTTGCTTCTCTACTCTTCCCATGACTCAGGGCCCAGGAACGTGCCTGGGGCCAAGGGCAAAGTGAGATCGCATGATATAAATGCTGGCCCTCTTCTCCTCCCATTCCCTCTAAAATAGACAGGGCACCTTTGTTTCCCACCCCCTTCCCACACAGGGCCTTAACCTTTTCCTCCCCTGGACTCCACCGGGCTCCCATTCAGTTTGCTTCCCTCCCTTGGTGCAAACAGACTGGAGTGTCTTGGACACACACACACACACACACACACACACACACACACCCTAAAGCCCAATACCTCTCAATTTGAGTTTCAAAATGGTCTAATCCCTTTTGCCCATTATGGGACTTTGGGAAAAACAAGTCTGGCTAGGGAGACCAAGGACAAGGACAAAGAGGCATAGCATGAAACCATTCTCTTCCTAGGACTTAATCTTTTTTTTTAAAATATTTATTTATTATGTATACAATATTCTATCTGTGTGTATGACTGCAGGCCAGAAGAGGGCACCAGATCCCATTACAGATGGTTGTGAGCCACCATGTGGTTGCTGGGAATTGAACTCAGGACCTTTGGAAGAGGAGGCAATGCTCTTAACCCCTAAGCCATCTCTCCAGCATCCCTAGGACTTAATCTTAAGACCCCTGCTCCTCCATCAGAGCCATGACAGAGGCTAAACCTTCTCACTCCAGATGTCGCTCTCTGGATCCCAGGTCTGGAGCCACCCCTTATCCGTAGCTTTAGCAAGACTCTACCATGGGAGGCTACCTCTGTCTCTCCCACATTCCTGATTCTTTCTGCTAGTGAGCAAGAGAGGCCCTAATTTCCTGAAAATCTCTGGAAAGGCTGAGAACTTTCCAGACATAATTCCTTCACAAGTACCAAAGAGGGCGGGGAGCAGTAGACCCTAGGAGTGGCAGAGAAGCCCACTCTCTAGCAAGGACCTGTTGCTAGCAGCAACCTGCAGCTTTCTCAGGTCTCAGCTGGAGCCTGCCACAGAAAAAGGCACACCAGGGGCTGAGGAGGCAGCTCTGGGCAACTCACTTGCTCTGCAAGCATGAAGAACTGTTTGGAGCCTCAGCCACATAAAGTGTGTATGGAACCACAGCATTATGGAACCCCAGCATTTCCACTGCGAGATGGGAGGCCGAGAGCACATCCCTGGAAGCTTGCAGCTCCATTACCCTCCTTATGCAGCAGCAAACAAGAAACCATGTTTCAAACTGGGTGAAAAGAGACCAACACCCCAGGCTCCTCCAGCCTCCAGCCTCTACCCCACCTAGGCCAGTACTCATTTGTCATCTCCCCCCTCCCCAGATTAAAAAGGAAAGAACGTGGGGAACCCACTCCAGGAAGAGCAGCCCTGATGGAAAATCCCTCAGCAATAACAGGCCTAGCAGGAAAGAAAAGGCTAGACCTGGGGAGCTACAGAGGGGGAGCCACACCCTCCCCCTGGGCTCTGCTGATTTGGGAGGCAACAGAGGGCCAAAGAAGAGTGTCCCAGAGGGTGTGGTTGCTCCATTCACAAGGCAAAACAATTTATTTAATGCAATAGTGTCTTTCTCCTGCAGAGGCCTTTCCAGAACCAGAGACGACTTCTCCTCCATCTTAGCAGGAAAAGCTAAAAATAAAGTCAAAACCCAGCTCAGGTTTTGGCTGCCATCCGGCCAGCTCTGGCTAGAAGCACAGCCCCAACTTTCCATGACTTCAGAACTTTTCCAAAGCTGAGGCAGCTGCAGGGGAGGAAAGAAAATGAAGAAAAAACCCGGGTGAAGCAAGTTGCAAACCAAGCATCCGAGCTCCAAGGCACCATGTCCCAGAGGGGCCTCTTCACCATGAAGGCCTCTGCAGGGCAGCTGCTGCTGCTGAGACTCACTCAGAAGGAGTCCTTTCAGAGAGAAGGACACTGAGGCCCAGAGGGGACAGCAAACAGTGGCAGGGGCCACGTTCTCACGGATTCACCCTCTACCTCACTGCCTTCCTAAGCCACCAGTGTAGAAAGAATGAAGAAATAAGCCAGGAGAGAGAAGAAAGCAGAGCCCATTGAACAAATCCGTCCCTGATGGCGGTGAGGCTGCCTTTGGAACATGCTCCAGGACAGGTCCTAGTTCAGCCTGCTTGGACACCTAGAGGGGGAATTCCCAGGGTCCCCCTTGTCCTTGGCTGTGGTGCAGCGGCCCTGTCGTTCTCCTGTCCTGAGTTATGGTCTGATATGCACAGGGTTGGGTTTATGATAATATAGTCATGTGTCAACTTAACAATGGAGTGTGTTGTGAGTTGTTAGTTTCATCATTATAGAAACATCACAGTGTGCTCACACAAGATGAGAGAAAATTTTGGGACCCTCCTCATATGTGACCCTCCACTGACAGAAATATTGTGTTGCATATGACAGTATGGCGGGCACTCTGGAACTATGACAGTGTTAACTTGGCTGCCCCTGGAGACAGTCGCCATCACCAATGTGATTACAGAAAGGGACAGGGCAGCGAGAGTTCCAGCCAGGGCCCTGAGGAAAGCAGGGTTTGAGTTCCTCTCTGTACCAATTCAGCACATGCCTTCAATGAAACCAGGACTGTTTCCCTTCCTCTGCCCAGCGCTGAAGAGACTCCATTAAAGACGAAGACACACCCTGTAGCCGAGGGAAACCTCAAGCAGATGGAATCAGGGAAGAGCTTTTGTGGTTTTCTTCATCAGGCATGGGGAGCCTCATCTAGGGGAAGGAGTCAGCCACTGTCACCCACAAGCTCATGACTCAGACCTTAGGAGCTTAGTAGACAGAAAGCCACAAGCACACCCTAAGAAATGTGTGGGGGCGTCTCCCTCTTCTCTAATTCTTTTTTTTTGTTTTTTTGTTTTTTTTTTTTGAGTTTTTTGAGGCAGGGTTTCTCTGTGTAGCCCTGGCTGTCCTGGAGCTTACTCTATAGACCAGGCTGGCCTCAAACTCAGAGATCTGTCTGCCTCCAAAGGCTGGGTGCCATTGGTGCACCATCAGGGCCCAGCTTATCTGGCTGGCGCTCTCTCTCTCTCTCTCTCTCTCTCTTTTAAAAGCCTTTCTTAAGTCTGGCATCATGGTGGATACTAACTTCAGCTCTCAGTGCTTGGGAGCAGAGGCCGGGATCTGGGTGAGTTCCAGGCCATCCTGGTACACCTAGAGGGTTCTGGGCCAGCCAGGATTACATAGTGAGATACTATTCTAACACGTGTATCTCTGAGTTCTGGGCCACAAACCAAAAACCAAAAAAGAAAAAGAAAGAAAGAAAGGAAGGAAGAAAGGAAGAAAAGCATACTTTATGGACAGCAACACAATTTACATGTTTAAATAACACTATAACAGAATTGTTTGATATTATTTAAAAATAGATAAACAAGAGAGAGAGAGAAAAGTTTCGAGTTACACGGCTATTCTCTACCAAACACTATTCCCTTCCTAGGAGAGGAGGGCCTCAGCCTGGACAGGCCTTGAGGACACTGGACGGGACTAGGCCTCTGCAGCCAGGCGCTGCCATAGAGGTGTGGCCCAGCTACAACCCACTGGGTGTGGTAGTGGGAAAGCTGGATTTGTGCTGGGTTGGTATGGAGCACTGGGTGGGGCGACCAGGGGAGCTGGAAAGGGATAGTAACCGGGGCTCCTTGGGTGACTCATGCTCAGACCCACAATAACCAGGGCAGGGGGGGTAAGTCGTCCAGGGCTCTCAGGGGCAGGGAGACCTGCCTGCCTGCGTCCTGTTCCAGGCCTGGTGTCATGAGAGTGTCCTGCGTGAACAACGGAGTGCCTGCATCCCCGCTGCCTCTGGGGGTCAGGGGCAAGAAGGGCTGGGTATCCGGTTTAACTCATCCCAATGGGCAATCCTGGCTCAAAGAAGGGGGGTGGGGGAGGGGATAAGAATAAGGTAAGTGAGAAGCCTTCGGTGGTGGGGGGACAAGGCTGGGGTCCCGAGCTGCTTTAGGGAAGAAAGACAGCAGTGGCAGAGGGGCTGGATGGGCACAGGGCCAGGCTCTGACCCGCCCACTGAGTCATCCTCCTCGGTCACCTCAGACGCCAGATATGGAAGCCTCGCGGCCTGTTTGGCCTGGTTGCCGGGAGCAACAGCCTAAACCCAGAGGGAGTGGCCTGCATTTCCTCCTCGGTCCTGGGGGAGGGACCAGCCGCTCAGACTCTACACTGGGCTAAAAATAAGGCGCAGGAGGGGGACGACGGACAGGCCCACGCCCCGCCCGCCCGCAGCCAGCCTCACCGGGCCTCGGCGTTCCCCATAGCTGGACCAGAAAGAGCGAGCGAGGCCTCGCGCCCCTGGAGTTCCGGAAAGATCCGGTGACCCCTGTGGCTGGGCAGGGTCCTGAAGCGCTGCTCCCAGATTCTTCTGGGGACAACCCCTACCTTGATAACTTCCGGCCTACCCTGCCCAAGCCCCTGCGCGACCTGGACCCTCACTCGTTTATTTACTATTTATTTTTATTCATAACAGGGTCTCAAGTTCCTAAACTGCCTCGAATTGGCTAAGTAGTCAAGGATGACCTTAAACTCCTCCTGCCTCCAAGTGCTGGGACGACATGTGGTTTATGGGGTGTTGGGGATCAAACACAAACCCCTTAAGTTACATTCCCAGGCCCTATTTTTTTTTCCATTAACGACGCAGTGTCCTTTATCTTAATCATGAATGATGCTTGCGCTGCATAAATAAAGAGAGGGTTCAGTAGCTAACCCTCCACAGCTCCCCACAAATTCCCTATGCCCACTGAGCTGCGTCCGCTTCAGCCCAGGTTTTATCTGCGGGATCTTTGACTTTTCTGCGTCTCTTGATGTAGAGCTCAGGTGCTGGGGCTTTTAGACTGACCT